GAGCGGCGGAGGGCAGCGAAACGGCAGCGAGAGCCTTTCCCTTAAGGATCGCAGCCCTCTTCTTTCCGCGGGGCGGCTGGCTCGGGGCGTCTCCGCAAACGCTTCTCCCCCGCTCCGGCAGCGTTGGCGCAGCCCGTGGGGACGTCGCCGCCGCCGGTGCTGGGGCTGCGGGGAGGGAGGGAGCTTCGCTGGTGACTGACGCCGCTCCGGGGACGGGCCCTGAGGCTGGGGGTGCTGGGATGGGGAGAGACCAGAAGGCCGATGAGGAAAAATAAACCCAAAGTTGCCTTAAAAACGCATGCCTGAGATCGGGAGGTACCACGGGGCAGCCCCGCCGGGCCCCGGTACCGGACCCGGGCGGGGGTACGGCTCCGCGCTGTTGGTTTGAGAGGTGGAAACGTAGTTGTGGGAGGGCTGCTTCGGGCCACCGAGTTCTTCCCGTGTGCTTTATTTTTTATGTATCACGTTGAAGATCCGTGTACCTGAAGCCTCAGCCGGCGACCGCGGAGTTAACGGGGGCTGATGGTGTCCCAGCAGTGAGGTAAACGGAGCCTGATCAGTGGGTAACGTACCGACTGAGTTACGTGCAAGGTCGTATCCTTACACTCAGTCTTCCTCATGCTTCGCTTAGGGGATCAGAAAAATTCTAGCTTGCATCTTTAAGTCTCCTAAATGAGTACTCCCGCATCAACAAGTCTGAACACCAGTTGCAACCATAGATTATAAAACCCCTTGGAGGATTTATTCTTGCTTATATTTTCTTCATGAAAACAGTGCAAAGGATTACACTTTTTCTGTGTTCATTTACTAATGTAGGATCTCAAAGAAATTGAGGTACAGGCTCTTCTTAGTGTTCCTCTGAGGATGGGGTCTGAAATTACTTCAGCAGCAGTTCGTTTTTAGCCCATTTTTGAAATTTTTCTGAACGGAATGCTTGTTCACATTCTGCATATTGAAGCCCAAGTAAGGCCCCAAGTAGGGTGATAGGAATCACTTGGGCTTCAGAAGCAGTTGTTTGGTACACAGATAGATTCTGAAATATTGTCAGATGGGAAAGCTGTACTGTCAGTTCATCATTCTTTTAACTGCTTTCCTGCATGTTACCAAATTTGCTGGTATACAGTCGGTATCTTGGCAAACAGTAACTTTTAAGGAGTAAAGGAAAAAATAGATGAACAGGCTTTTGCTGAAATTACCTATTATATTTGCAGATGTAAATGGATTATATTTAGGCACTGCTCACACTGAAGTTAATATATAATCTAGAAGTTGCAGTCCCAGGTTTGAAATGAGACGCTTTAACTGCTGAAAGGCCCAACTTTCTTTCTCTACCCTCTCCTCAAACCAGAAGAGTTTGAGGTCTGAGAATTTGGCCTAATTAGCTTGTATAAGAATACTTCCCCAATGAATTTTAATATCACTCTTATAAACATTTGCCTCAAAATGCAATTGAAGATAATATTAAACTTTGCTGAATTGAGAGCATGCTCATGGAAAAAGTTTTTGGGAAAAATCGTCTGTACTTACTAGGCATGGCACATAGTTTCAGGATAATTATATGCAAAGTGTGAGCGGGCGGAAAAGCAGTAGAAGCACCAAGATGGTCATAGAGTTATTAAAATACTCCTTGATAGTCTTGAACAACTGAATTGTGTGTTGAAATTTAATTATGGAAATAGTTATTTGATATCTTAATTTAAAATGCTTTTTTTGGTTACTTTAAACTGAACCACTGCTGCAAACATGCTACCCTATGCTGTATCATTTTTTGTGCCATTAAAAAGGTGTTATGTGAAAACTGTCACTGTGTCTGTTGTTCCCAGTGTTTAAATTTCAAATATGTGAGAATAGGTACTGTAATATTACTCGCCCAGTATGAGATAGGTTCTTAGTGATAAAATTGTCTGTGTCTCTCAAAGCTTTTGTCTCCAATTTGTTGCATCATAGTGGAAAAGGAAGCAATTGTTAAATGCAGACCATCTTCTGTGTGATGTATATCTATGTAATGCTTTTACAAATGGTTCCATTTTACTTGATTCCAGCATTCATTATACCACTTAGGAAATGTAAAGCGGAAAAAAGGAATGCTTTTACAAATGGTTCCATTTTACTTGATTCCAGCATTCATTATACCACTAAGGAAATGTAAAGGGGAGAAAAAGAATTTGTTTTGCCTCTTAGAATATTTGGAGAATATTTTTTTACTCATTGACATAAATCTTAAGAAAAAAAAAGTAAAGGTTTGTTTTTGTGAATGTATTAGCTTGTGCTTCAGCTCTTAATGAAGAAGATGTGTTGTGATGATCTCTCAGGTGAACAGGACTTTCTTCTGTTTAAACCTCCCTCTGGAGAGGATGCTGCTTGAGGGTGGTACCTGTGAGCTGCCCGCAGACTTGAACAGTGCTTTGCTCACTGTGACTGCTGGGCCCTGGTTGATGCAGGAGAAGAGTGGGGCTGTAATCCCACTTCTTGCTGCTCTACAGACTGTTCCTGAGTACAGCGAAGCCACGGGCTGTTTCTTGAGTGTGCAGGCTCCTCTGCGCTCTGATGGTGCTCCCTGACTGCTCAGAGAGCTGTGCTTGCAGATCGCTATCTGGTGGGACAGCAGGCCTGGTCTTGAAGGCGGCCTTGGGGCTCTTCTAGAACAGTCCAGGCACATCCTAGGGAGAGCGTGTTCTGGGAAGCCCGAGGATGAAATGGGTAGCTCTGCTGCTGAGTGGTTCATCCAGCCTTCTGCCACCACACAGTGCCAAGTGTGTCCAGAGTGAAGCAGTTCTACAGCTGCTCTGCAGAGAGAGTGTGTGCTGAAAGCATGGATGCTGGTGTGGTGCTGTACCAACAAATAGTGCCGCCTAGTGATGAGTTTCAGTTTTGGACAGAGTTTGTTTTGCGGGCGGGGGAAAAATGCTTGCACTACCACATCCAAGAATGTATGCCAAAAAATTATTTCTCAGTACCGCATAATTTCCTGCATAAACCATACAAAATAGAAATTAATTTATCCATTCTGAAAACGTGATTTTTTTAAAAAAAATGCTGAGCTCTTAACTGCTTCAGTTTTCTTTTTTTCTACTACTTTTTCCTTTATTAGTCCCACCTTCTTTCTCATTTATGTCAGTGTTGTGTAAGAAAAAACCCTTTTAAGCAAAATGTATACAATTTTCATATACTTTCCACCTAAAATACTCAAATACTTTGGTGATGTTGAAATGTTTTCCTAGACTTGTTTTCTTCGGATTGCTTAAAAGCCTTCAAAATTGCTTCATACTTTAGTTCTAAGGCTTTTAAAGACAACAAGCCATTTACAGTAAATATTTTCCCTCCTTTCATTTAATTCTCTCCATTCCCTCATTTCTGCTGAGTTACAATGACAATGCAAATCTTTGTGATTAACTTGGTTGCTTAATGAAGCAGAATCAGTCTGTGTCATATGATGTTTCTTTACGAATCTAATTAATGTTAGAGGTACAGTTGCACTGGCTCGCAGTAAAAGTCTGCCTAGTCTGGCATGCCCTGACTGTAAAGAGATGTGTGTTTTGCATGTGGAAAGCAGGGAGCAAAGTCTTGGCCATTGTTTGGTGAGCTGCTGTCCCCATGGACTGTATGTGCACTGTCAGGATTGCTCAGGTTGGAATTTTGCTCAACATTCAGATATTGCTGCCTCCTAAGAAGGTGAGAACCATGAAGCTGGGGTCAAATGACATTGTCCAAGGCTCACCCTGATTTCTCAGCAAGTCAGAATTGGCCCATAAAGTGGGTAAGGGGAAGCCTGACAGCTGTCTTCTCCCTGCTTCTTGCATTTCTAGGTATACCACCACTGGGATGTGTCTACTGGCTCCCTGGATGAATTCAACAGATAATAGATGCTGTGAGATCTCCCCTATTGGGTTCCTGGAGGGTTTTATAGGGTTTTGGGGTATGTGTGTTTTAGTTTTTACCCCCTCTGAAACTTTGAATCCTCAAGTATTTTGAAAATCTCTTTATACTTCCTCTTCTTTTTGGAGGAGAGTGAGCAGTGGGTGCTTTTAGCCTATTCTTAAGGTGAGAGCAGCAGCAGTGGCCATATGCAGGTATTGAGGGAAGAATAAGAATCAGGGAAGCATGTGATATCTTCCCAGAATCCTCTTTCAACCTCTACTACATTTAACTCCTGGAGGAGTAAGCCACCCTGAGCCAGATGTGGTATGTAGTAACCAACAATGAACTTCCTTCATCAGC